ATAATCTCTCATGTCACAAATAGCCCATATAAAAGAACTATTCCACATTCCACACAATATTCACATAATTCACATGGTTAGTACATTTGCTATTTACTTGAATTGTGCATATTCAATTCTTTAGTACATGAATAACAGATCTTGCATCAAGACACCCATCCCTTGTGTCATCTTCTCATACAAAGGGAGTACACAAGTCCTTGCTTTCCAAGTAATAATCACCATACATAGGCCAAGATAATCAACCAAGCATTAACCATAAGAAAACATGAAGTCAAGTTTGTTTATCGTAAAAGAATGAACACTCAAAATAGTAAAATCATGCATAGTAAGGTCAGAAATTGTACCTTGCCGTTTTTTAGCGACCATCTTGTGGAGGGCCATGCTTTTGCTCTCGATCCATGATTTTCTTTCATTTTGTCTTTCCTAATTCATAATTGTGCTCATGTTCCAATCCATCTTTATGTGTCTTTGGCCTTGTTGAGAACATCATCGAACACTTTCTGGATGTAACTCGGATCTTGACCAAGACTTAGATCTCGGGTATCAAACTTTGTACATGAAATACAGTGGGGTTTATTCATTGATCTAATACACTCTATGGAGTCTCATGACGACTAACGACTAATGCTCCATATTTAGATTGCACTAGAATCTATGATACCCTTATCCACTTACACTTAGGATGTCACTTGCTCAGTTTTCTGATTTTCTAGGTTGGGCACCATTTAATCCTAGGTTCATATCTTAAGGACTACCCAACATTTACTCATATGATTTTTTCGTACTTAAAGTAGACTAAAAACGAGGCAAATAATGTTCAGGGTTCAATACAAAATTCCTAACCGAAAGGACACAAACAACTTGTAACTCAGAGGTTTAATTTTAGTATCGTGTAACAAAAAATACAAGTTGATATAACTCTGATAGAATAGCCATATCTTTAAAAATATTTGGTATTTTTTGATAAAATAGTCATATTTTTATATGAAACTAGACATAATTCCACAAAAGAACAACATATCCCAAACTCAAGATTAGACGTTTTGATAGCTCAAAAACTCCATGCACAAAATTGCAAAGTTCCTAAAAAATCTGTTCACGGATCTGGCACACTCATTATAATTGTCAATAACGTTCAAATTATCATTGATGTTATCATGGTATCTTTTCTACATGAAAGTAATTTCAAAAACACAAAATATCACCAAAGATCATCATATTGTTTAAAGAAAATAAGCCCCTATCACTATGTCAAAAATAGTGATTAGATCTGGCAATTTCTAGCCATGATCTTTATACCATTAGAACTATCATCCCTCAAAACCTTGGAAAAATAACTATGGCTACCATGCTCAAGAACTTATGCACTTCCTAAATAAAAATTTGGGCCAATTCAAAACCGTGGGAAAAAAATGGGGCAAAATGAGGCACAAATCACTCTCAATTTGGTGAGAAATTCAATAACATGAGCATGAAAATTAGGACATAAATTTTCCTTTCAAACTCTCAAGAAAATACGCAACTAGAGAGTGAATCAATTGACTAATTTATGTCAAAATTTGCAGGAAAAATCTCTTCAAGAAATTACATCAATGGAGCTAGGGTTTTCTCTAGACTTGAGATCAAGCTCCATGGTGCTTCAATGAAGGTTTCTCTCACTAGATCTTCACATATCTTTTATTTTCTCTCACTAAGATGTTTCTCTCATGAATAAAAGGAAGAAGAGAACAAGGAGGGGCATGCTACTCTCTCACTAGATCTTCACATCTTCCTTTACTGGCTTTCTCTCCTAATCCATTGTTTCATGAGCCATATTCTTATTCTCAGGGATCTAACCTCTAATACTAACGTATAGCTATGAATGAGGAAATTGCAGCTTTAGAGGCAAATCACACTTGGGATTTTATCCCATTGCCCACAGAAAAGCATGCCATTGGTAGTAAATGAGTTTATAAAGTCAAGTTTCGAGCTGATGGCACTCTTGATCGGCACAAGGCCTGATTAATTGCTTAGGGTTATGCTCAGGAGCATAGCATCGATTATGAAGAAACTTTTGCTCCAGTTGCTAATATGACAACAACTCGTACTTTTATTGCACTCGCTTCTATTCGTTAGTGGCCATATGGTAGATGGATGTCAAAAATGCATTCCATAATGGCGAACTTCAAGAGGAAGTTTACATGCGTCAACCAAATGGGTTTGTTTCTTAAGATAAGTCATTGGTTTGTCGACTTCGTAAAGCACTTTATTGTCTCAAACATGCTCCCAGTGAGTGGTTTGAGCGTTTTTGGGCTGTCATTCTTGCAACTGGCTTCACTCAAAGTACATGTTTATTCGTCCCACAAAGAATGGAATTTGTATTATTTTATTATATATTGATGATAGTCTTATCTTGTGCAATGATTTCACTTCCATCAAGGATGTGAAGCTATGATTGCAAGAAGAATTTCAAATGAAAGGTCTTGGGGAAGTATCTTATTTTCTTGGCCTTGAGATCTCTCGCTCTAAACATGGTATTTACATCCATTAACATAAATATGCACTTATTCTTGTTTCCAGTGCCCGCTTGAATGATGCGAAGGTCGTTGATACACCCATGGAACTCAATGTTAAACTTTCTATACATGTTGGAGATCCTCTTCTTGAGCCTACGATGTATCGCAAACTCGTCAGCTCCCTCATCTATCTTACTATAACTCGCCCAGATATTGCATATGCAGTCCATGTTGTGAGCCAATTTATTTCAGATCCTCGATGACCACATCTATCAATAGTTCGTCAAATTTTACACTATGTTTGAGGCACTTCCATTCCTGGCTTATTCTTTGACTCTACATCCTCTTTAGATCTCAGTCAATATGCATATGCAGATGCAGATTGGGCAGGTGATCCAGACACTTGCCGTTCTACTACAGGATATTGTGTGTTTCTTAGATCATCATTAATATCATGGAAGAGCAAAAAACATGACACTTGTTTGCAAGTTAAGCACTGAAGCTGAGTATCGTGCTATATACTCTGTTGCTAGTGAGATTGTTTGGGTTTGTGCTCTTCTCAATGAGTTTGATATCTCTATTTCAAATCCCACATGTTTATATGCAGAAAACCAATGTGCAATTAAGATTGCATCTAATCTAGTTTTTAATGAGTGAACGAAGCATATTAACATAGATTGTCATTATGTTCGTGATAGCTATCTTGATGGTACATTATCTCTCCCTTATGTTTCTTTTAATGTACAAACGACTGATATTTTCACCAAATTTGTTACTCGGAGCCACAATGATTTTCTAATGAAAAAGCTAATACTTTCCTCATGTCCGCATCAGCTTGAAGGGGGTAATAATGTGTATACAAAAATAAGATGTATAATTTTCAGTTGTCCTTTATTTTCATTGTATATTTATGTAGGGATAATGTGGTCTACATTAAATATGTATTTGTATATAAACCATTTTAGGGTTTCATTATTTGTTAATGAGAATTAATCAAGATAGTTTCTCTCTCTAGACTATTCTTGAGCTCTGCATCTTCTCTAAATCTAACAATTCTCGCACTAGAACACAAAACCATGTGGAGAGAAAACGAGTAAAGGAAGGGAGACATGATCCCACACTTTTTTAGGCTTATTCTCTCTTTAGATAATTTAATATGGAAGTGAGAGAATTAAAACTACAAGGGCATGCCCATTAGATAGAGAAAGAAACTTTCAATTGTGTAAAACGATAGATTAAGGGGGAGTTTATAGTGTTGAGTGTAGAGATGCTTTATATGTGATGCAATCATGACCATTGAAGTCCAACATCCATGGCTATAAAAAGAGGTTTGATCTTAGCTTACCATCCACTATCATGCCATCTTGATGGGTATTATAGATTTAATACCCATGTCCTTCATTTTTAATAAACATAATTCACTCCAATTTTCCTTGTATGAAATTACCTTTGTTCTTTTCATATAATTGAACTTAAATTTAAGTTGGAGGGTATACCCTTAAATTAATTTGACAAAAATTCCAACAAAAAAATCAAAGTTGAAACTTCCCTCCCTTTTATAAGAGCACGTGCGGCTAATCAAATCATGTCACATAAGTTAGGTAGTTAAGTGCACTATTGCCACATACCCTTAGGGTTTCTATTTTTAATTTCAAACCCTATGCCCCTTCTAAAAGGGTTCACACATGCACAAACCACTTTCCTTGCCCATTTAACATGTGCCAAAATTAAATTTTTAATTTTCAAAATAGCACAAAATCCAATATTACAAAATGCCCCGCATCATAACAAATTACACACTGACCAAAATGGTCACCATGGAGAATGACATCATCCTGACATCATCACCATGTGGGGCTGATGTGGAGGCTCCCATGGCACCACATGGGTACCCATTGGCTATTGGGTGTCCGGTGTGGGTCACTGGGGGTCTATCCTAAATTGTTCTTTTGTAAAAGTAATTTTAGAAATGACTTTTTCTAATGCGAAAAAATCCAGAAAAATCTCCCAAAATCCTTTTAATCATCTTCAATCAAAATAAATAATTTTCACAATGTTTAAAAACATTTTCAAGGTAAATTAGGATCATATGGAGTTGAATTAGGAATCTGAGTACTCCTCTCAGCTAGAATTAAAAGTCACATTCTCGGTATGATTCAACAAACTCATGATCCATACTGTATAAGCAAATGCTCATGATCTAACTTATCAAAGTCAAACCAATGAGTCACCCTGAATCCCCAAATAATATTGGATATCAGGTGCACCCCCTAGAGGACATTCACACAGATGGTGTGGGGATTCTTCTAACGGCAAATGTGCATACTATTTCTAAGTGGATCCCTAGAAGAGTCGTCTTTCTCATCCTTTGCAACTATTTATGCACATGATATGAGGAGATTTTAAGAGTAAGAGATTTAGGCCAATGCCCTCAATTGGACCTAACCTTGCCATACAGGGTTAATCTTCTACCACATATCACCATACGCAAAAAATCACATCACTATGGCCCTGACTAATTGAGCTCAATAATAATAACAATAACTGACCCTGACTAGGGGCAACCCTGAAACCTCTTGGTGCCTCATATATATATATATATATATATATATCAATCCTCCACAAGACTGTCCAAGGGTTTTCATAACTCTTGGTCTCAATGCGTCAAGATCCTAGAGTCATGTCGCTCTTTTTATTCATTGTAATCAAGAGCAATAACACGTCCATTTTATAAGTCCTTCAAAATCCATAACTCCAACACCAATCTAGATCATGAGCACCATACATATGGCCACATCTACTACAACAACCAGTCATGGAAATCAACGTGTAACTCACAACGTTGGCTTTGAAACCAAATGGTGCAAAGCCAACACTGAAAAAAGGAGAGATCTAAGACCAATTCAGCAACATTAACCCGTCCATCTCGGTTCATCGATAAGTGAAAAGCTGCCAAGAGCACAGTGAAGGACAGGAAAGAAGTGACTTTCAGCCCTATATCACACCACTACATGTAGTAAAGGAAATTTTCTTTAATGAAATAATTAATTACTTCCGTTACAACAAT